CACTCCGCACTCCCCCCATCATTCACTATGGTAAGATTTTTTGTTCTGATGATGCCTTACACCTGATCCCTTCGACACCTCGTAGTTGCATAGGCTGGTGTGCTTCTTGTTTTAAAGGGAAGGCGGCACATGAATAACCCTGAGATAAGAGTGAGGAGAGGTGGGCAGTCTAAGGGGTTGTTTTCTGAAAACTGAGAGAAGTAAGAGCTGTGAATAAGAGTACGGTGATAAGGTTACCCACTCACTGCCACCCAGTCAACTTTGACTCTCAGTGACCCAACAGGACAGAGCATGAGTTTCTGAGAGTAAATATTTATGGGAACAGGAAGCAGCATTTATCTCCCTTGGAGCTGCTGATGGATGCACACTCCTGACCTTGTAGTCATCAGCCCCGAGTTAACTCAACCTGGCTCCTTAGAGTAGGGAGTGAAGAGCTGGCAGGAAGAGACCATTTCCTCTCTGGGCCTGGTTTCTTTTCCTTTGCTTTTCCCTCTTCCTTTCTCTCTCTCTGTCTTATTACCTGTTCTGAATGCACAACTGAAGTGAGAGGAGCCCTAGCAACTTGGTGGTCTTAGCCAGCTTTGCCTGCCATCCAGGTTTCTGTTGGTCTTTGCCTTTGTGTGTGTGTGTGTAGGTAGGGGGGCGTTTCATCGATCATTGTAATCAATTCCCCTTTTTCTCTCCCTTCTCCCCTAGCCTCCCCCATTCCCTCTTGGTAATGCTACTCCCATTTCTGTGTTCCTGAGGGGTTTATCTGCCCTGGATTCTGTTTGTCGAGAGTCTACATGCTCTGGTCTAGCCCGATTTGTAAGGTAGATCTAGGTGAGGAAGCCACAAAGAACCAGAGGAATTTTGTGTGTTTTGTCGGTGCTGTACGGCCCCTTGGCTGACTCATCCCTTCCTTGTGACCCTTCTGTGAGAGGATGGCCAATTGTCCACCGATGGGTTTTAGACTCTACGGATGGGTTTCACGCTAAGTGAAATTGACTGAAGTTGTCAAAGATTTCATTTTATTTGGATCCATAATCCATAAAAGACTTTTCTCTGCTTATCAGATGTTGCTTATTGGCTCAGTTTGAGGATTTTTGTTTTCTGTAAGTTGTGGTGTAATCCATACGGATAGGATAGTCTTCGATTTTCATCAGTAAGTTCTTCAAGTTTTCTTGACTTTTCAGCAAGCAAAGTTGTGTCATTTGCATATTTTCAGATTGTTAATGAGTCCTCCTCCAATTCTAATGCCCTGTACCTCATATAGTTACAGCTTCTCAGATTATATGCTCAGCACATGGTTTGAATAAGTATGGTGAAAGGATCCAACTCAGGTGCACATCTTCCCTGATTTTAAACCCTGCAGTATCCCCCAGTTCTGTTCTAATGACTGCATATAGGTCTGCAGCTTCCGCCTGAGTATGACGACGCATTCTGGAATTCCCAGCATTTTCGATGTTATCCATCATTTGTTATGAGCCACATAGTCAAATGCCTTGACAAAGTCAATAAAGCACAGTCTTTTTTTTGAAATGTCTTGGTGTTCTGTGTTTTCAGCCAATATCCAGCTCATGTTAGCAGTGGTATCGCTTATTCTACATCCTCCTCTGCCTCAGACAGCTAGCTCCCTGTTGATATTCCTGCTGCAACCATTTTAAAACTGACTTCAGCAAAATTTTGTTTGCAGGTGATGCTAATGCTATTATTGTTGGATAATGTCTGCATTCTGTTGGCTCACCATTCACTGCAGTGGGCATGACTCAGGTTCTCTTCCTGTGTGTTGGCTGATAGCTGTTTTCAAGAGTTCTTAGCACAGACCAGTGAGCATCTCTCGGGCCGCATCCATTTGTTGAAAATTTTCATTTGGTTCTTCAGCAACTGCTGGAGGCTTGTTTTTGGCCAGGGTCTTCAGATCATCTTCAACTTCCTTCTACAGTACCATTCTTGGTCGGATGCTCCCGCCTGAAATAATGGAATGCCAACCAAGTCTGTTGAGTATAGTGATTCAGTATTATTTCTTACCACTGCATGTGAATATACACTTATCTCTAAATTAAAAAAATTAAATTAATGATGTCCTCCAAAGAACATGTAAGGTTAAAAATAATTGTGTGTGTGTGTGTATGAAGACTTTCTTGGATTTTGATAGAAATGGAGCTAAACCAGCCTATTTCAGTAGAATTAACATCTCTACTACTCTGAGTCTTGTAATTTGTGAATATATTGTCTCTACACTTCTTTAAATCTCTTGATTTCTTTCATCAGCATTTTCTAGTTTTCAGCAAAGAAGTCCTGTGTTTTGTTAGATACACTTTTGCTTTTTTTTTTTAGTGACTGTAAATGTTATTGTGATTTAATTCTGTGTCCATGTGTTCATTGAGAGTGGGCTTCAAAACATGGGTGAAGGGAGACAGCAGACGGTGTAAGATAGGAAAATAAGAGTAACTTATAACTTATCAAGGGCTCACAATGGTAGGAGGGTGAGGGAGGAAGGGAAAAAAGGAGCTGATACCAAGGGCTCAAGTAAAAAAATGCTTTGAAAATGATGATGGCCAAATATGCACAAATGTGATTGATACAATCGATGTATGGATTGTTATAAGAGCTGTAAAAGCCCCCAATAAAATGATTAAAAGAAACCACGGCACTAATGGAGCTCTGTGAACATTTTGAAGCCCCCTTGTAGATAGGAATACCATTGATTTTTGTAGAACTAGGTTATTCATTCTAAGAGGTTTTGTGGGTACATTCCTTAGAATTTTCTATTTAGACAATCTTCTGCGTAACCTTTTGCTTCCTTTTGGCTTTTTTTTTTTTTTAATTACACTAGCTAGAACTTCAGCACTAGCTTGAATGGTGACAGCCGCTCTCTTTGCCTTGATCCTGATCTTATGGGGAAAGCATTTAGTTTCCATCATTAAGGTAATGTTAGATGGAGGTTTTTGTAAATGCTCTTATCACCTTGAGGAAGTTCCTCTTTAGTTCTACTTTTCTGAGCGTTTTAAAAAAGATCATAAATGGATGTTGAAATTTGTCAAATGTGTTTTCCAGTTGATGTTATCAGTGACTACCTCTTATCATCCTGTAACTTCCTCCCATACCAGACCAGACAGAATCCTCGTTGATGTTTTTATATAGTTTAATCATAGAATGATGTGTGGTAAATATAGGTATGAATTGCTGAAAGTAATATTTCTGAGATTATATGCATATGAAAAACAATTGTTTTATAAAATATTTATATTTGAATTACACCATCGTTCTTTTCCCTTTTTTTAATTAAATACTTTTATTGCGGGCTCTTCTATCTTCTATCACGATCCATACATTCATCCATTGTGTCAAGCACATTTGTACATATGCTGCCATCATCATTTTCAAAGCATTTTCTTTCTACTTGATCCCTTGATATCAGCTCCTCATTTTTTTCCTTCCCTCCGGCATCCTCATTCCCTCATGAACCCTTGATAAATTACGCATTATTGTTTTCCTATCTTACATCGTCCACTGCCTGCCTTCACCCACTCCTGTTGTTTGCCCCCCGGGAGGGGGTATGTCAATTCTTGTTATGAACCCCCTCTCTCCCCCACCATCATCATTTTCAACACTATTATTAGTTTGATTTTTCTCCCACCTTTTCCTTTCATTACTCCTTCATTATCAAAAAGCTAAAGATATAGGCATATAAATACTCCATACCACAAACTGTAGTTAGAACACCAGAAAAAAAACAGTGACTATTAAAAGAAAATCAGCAGTAACAAAAACTGCTTGGAGCACATGCAGACAAAACTACGTGGTCTGAAGGCCACGATAATTGAATATGATGACAGTTCTGACCTGAGAGCACTAGACGGTTCAAACAGTAAATTATCAGAACATCAAAACATGCAGTGGTAAGTGTATAACAAATTGATTGTATGAAGTGTTGTTCTTGTTAAATACTGTTGAATTGGTCCCAACTCACAGCGACCTCGTGTCCAACAGATTCCACTCATAGGCCTTGCTCCTGGGCCACCTTCACAGTTTTTCTTATGTCTGAGCCTATTGTTGCAGCCACGGTGTCAATCCGTTTTGTTCTGGGTCTTCTTTATACTGCCCCCACTTTACCAAGCACGATGCCCTTTTCCAGTGGCTGATCTTTGCGGATAGCATGCCAGACTTCCACATGGATGATTCAAATGACAACGGCTAGTCTTGCTCACAAACCTTGCTCGCACTTCACCTCGGTTGGAGGGCTCCTCTCACCCCTGTGTATCTGGTTTTCATAGGGACTTGATGCTCTGTCTGCGTGTTCCCTTCTTCTCCTCAGGATCCACCCATCGAATCCTCGACTGAAACATTCAGCAACGGTAGTCCCGGCAAAGGAGATGGCACCTTGAAGGCAAATGCAACCAGGACAGCCTGTTTCCTCTTCCAGTTTCTGGGTCTCCTTCTGCTGCCCGTCTGGGAGAATAGAGGCTGGCTGCTGCATCTTGGTTGGCTGCTCACAAGCTTTTACTCATCCGCCTGGAGGTAGACTAGAATTCATTCAAATTTTGCGTTTAGTAAACAGTGTCCCGTAGGGCACCTACCTGTCAATACCATTACTGAATTTTTTTAAAATGTGTATTTTCAGCTTTACTACAAAACACCTACTGCCATTGATTGATTCTGACTCATCAGGCCCTTCCATAGGATTTCCAAAAACAAACGGAAAAAACCCCACTGCCAATAAGTTGATTCTGACTTCTGGGGACCCTGTAGGACAAGATAGAACTGTGCCTGTGGGGGCTGGACTGTCACTGCTTATGAGAAGAGAAGGCCCCCTCTTCCCTCTGAGGAGCAGCTGGTGGTTTTGAACTGCTGACCTCGCAGGTAGCAGCCCAACATGTGACCATTATGCCAGGGGGGCGCTGCACGTCTTTCTGGGAGCAGAAAGCCTCATCTTTCTCCTGAGGAGCAGTTGGTGGGTTTGAACTGCCAACTGGCAATTAGCATCTAACACTTAGAAGACAGCACCACTCAGGCTCCTTTTGGCTTTACCAGATAACATCAAAGCGTCTCCAAAGCACTACCCATTTTCATGCCTGCTCTGCCTCTTTCTACTTTCCAGCACTTTCTAGTGTCAGAGTTTTTACTTTGTCAGTTTGATGAGTGAGTTATCTCCTTGTTATTTAGATTTCCCTAGTAGTTACTAGTCAGAGGATGGGCAGTAGTAAGTTAGTGATAGAATTTTCACGTTTCCTACCGGAAACCCTGTTGAGTTCCTAGCCAATGTACCACCCATGCAGCCACCAGTCATCTGTCAGTAGAGACCTGTGTGTTACTGTAATACTGAACAGGTTTCAGCAGGGTTTCCAAACCAAGATAGACTAGGAAGAAAGGACTGGTAATCTGCTTCTGAAAAATCAGCCTTGAAAAGTCTATGGACAGAACAACCTGATCTTGAATCAGGTGCTGAGTGGACATCACTAATAACAAAAACAATTACTAATGCAGTTTAAACATTTATTATTACTACAAGTATTTTTCCTAATTTGCATTGTGTATTGTGACTGAAAGTTGTAGCTAGTTTGCAGTAGCTACTGCTGGACATAAGTACACCTTATTTGAATCTTTAAAAGTATTGGCAATTTTGCAGGTTTTTCTGAGGAAAAACTTTGGGGTGATTTTCAGAGAGTATATTATTAGGAAGAAGAGTATATTTTTAGAGCAGCGGTTTTCAACCTGTGGGTCGCGACCCCTTTGGGGGTTGAATGACCCTTTCACAGGGGTCGCCTGATTCATAACAGGAGCAAAATTACAGTTATGAAGTAGCAATGAAAATAATTTTATGGTTGGGGGTCATCACAACATGAGGAACTGTATTAAAGGGTCGTGGCCTTAGGGCGGTTGAGAACCGCTGTTTTAGAGCATCTTAGGAAGTGGTTATGCATTGGGCTGCTAACAGCAAGGTCCATAGTTTGAAATCAGCAGCCCCAACTTGGTAGAAAGATGGGACTTTATACTCCTGTAAAGAGTTACAGTCTCAGAAACTCACAGAGGCAGTTTTACCATGTCCTGTAGGGTCACAGTGAGTCGGCATCAAGTCCATGGCTGTGAGTTTGAGGGATCTTGGACATTTAGAAAGAGCGTGGACTTCCGGTAAATCCTGGCTTCATTATTTACAGCTTTGTGACCACGGGCAATTGGTGCAGTTTCTCTGAGTCTGTTTCCTCATTTAAAATTAGTAGCTCCTGACAAATACCATGGCCCACAGCCACCCCAATTTAATAGCATTGTTACAGTGGTGTTCCTGGGAGCCTCGGTGGGCATTTAGGACCAGAGAAGAGGGAGTGCTGGCTGTCCCAGAGAAGGTGACTTCATTTCTGTTAGTGAGTGAACTAATGAGAGGCAACCTGCCCCTGGGAAACACGTAACATTGCTTGTGTGGGCCCTTAATGGGAGAATCCACCCTGTAGAATGTCATTCATTTTTTAATGAATTTGCTTTCTGCCCTTGACAGCCCATGCCTTGTGCTATAGACTACCTGGACTTTAGATTTTAGCCCTTCAAGCTAAAATTCTAGCATTCTTCATCGGCCACATCAGGATGATCTGACTTGGACACCCCTCTAAATTTGAACCTGACTTTGCCTTAAACGTGCCTGTTCCAGATTAAAGGGACTGAAGCAGGGGTCCTCAAACTTTTTAAACGGGGCCAGTTCACTGTCCCTCAGACCCGTTGGAGGGCCGGACTGTAGTTTAAAAAAAACTATGAACAAATTCCTGTGCACACTGCACATATCTTATTTTGAAGTAAAAAAACAAACAGGGCAAAAACACCCGGCGGGCTGGATAAACGTCCTCGGCGGGCCACAAGTGGCCCGCAGGCTGTAGTTTGAGGCCCCCTGGATTGAAGTATTCTTTGGATTTACAGGTGAATCAGCTTATGGCGAGAAACATGACTGTTATCCCAGGTTTGTGGACTTGGAAAACATTGGACTTGGGTTCAGATCTCCTGCTTTCAAGGATGTCCAATCATCGACAATTTAAGACAAACATTTGCAATTTTCATATTTTCTTTGCTCTTTGAGTATAAATTCTTTGCTCTTTGAGTATAAATTCTTCAGGGATAATTTTGCTTAGTGAATTAGTATTAGCAAATGAGCTTTCCTTTATATATATGTTTTTTTCTTTTCTCACTAGCATTTTGAATTGTCTATTTACTAGATTAATGATACTATTAGAAATACCAGTGTCCCCTGCAGGTTACCTATATAGAAGCTGATAATGCTGCCTTTCAACCCGACCGGGAATGCATGTGTGCGTGCATGCGTGCGTGCGTATAAAGTTTAGATACATGAGGGCTGGGTGGCACAGTGACTAAAGTTTAGAAGTATGAATGGACTTTGAGCTTGCACGTATTCATAACCTCTAGTTTAAGACAGTTCTTACAATGTGCCCTGTTCCACACTTGCTCTCGTTAAGTGATCACTGACAGGATACAGTGCAGTGAAGAAAGCAGGTGGTGCCTGGCGATCTGGAGGACTAGTGTCCAGGGGTCTTCAAGGCTTGTCTGCAGACAGGCAGCCATACAGAGGAGGTGACAGCTAAGTCTGCATGGAAAACGCACGTTAGCTCATGTGAGCCAAGAATTGTTAGTAATAAAATTCAAGGACAGAAAGGGGAATTGTATTAGATCTTTAAACTCTGAGTGTCCAGCTTGCAGAAGGCTATGAATGATAGTCAGTGCCCAGACTCTACTTGCAGAGACCCCAGGGGGTTAAGTCACTGACCACAGATGTGAATCGTTCATTCCTTAGCAGAGTGCATAGGAAGATGAATTACTGAAGCTATAGTTAGCTTAAGACTTAATATTTTACCCCTTATTTTCCCTTTTGACCCATTTTTAACTTGTTTTATTATTTTCTGCTTTCTTTTGGTTTGAAGTTTATGTTTTATCTTCTTGTTGCTCATAGGTATTTTTTGGGGGAGGTCTCATTTTCTTCATATGAAATCTAGGATAAGTCAACAAATTATATAAATCCTTATGGTTATGCTGGGGAGGCTGTGGGAAATGGGAAACTAATAATGGTTATAAGAATGAAAGGAATGATTTAAATTGATTGTGTTGATGATTGCACAATTCTATATTAAACAACTTTATTTAATATTTTTATATTAAACAACTTTAATATGTTTAAACCATTGAATTGTATCCTATGTGAAATATAGTCAATAAAAGCATTTAAAACATTAGTACCTCATGATTTGAGAAAGAATTAAATTAGCTAGCTTTTAAAAACACCTGGGACATAGGACTGGTATATACTTTAAGATGAAATATACCAGTATATTCAAATCAAGTAATAATGTGAAAGATGGCCTAAAACCATGCTATATAATTGACACCTGTGATCGCTAGCATTTTATGCGATTAAAATGAGATCTTTAGTTGATTCTAATATAAAAGTAATTTCATTTTAGGATCAATTGAGCATAGACAATCCAAAGCAACTATCTAGATAAGGTCTGTGACTTATATGAAGAGCCCTGGTGGTATAGTAGTCATTCAGTGGCTATGCAAAGTTATCAGTTCGAAACCACCAAACGCTCCTCAGGAGAAACATGGGGCTTTCTGCTCCTGTGCAGAGTTAGAGTCTTGGAAACTCAGAGAGGGAGGCAGTTCTACCCTGTCCTATAAGGTTGCTATGGATCCATATCCGTGTTTGGCAGCCTGCCTTCTCCCCCTAGCCATAAACACTCCTAGAGACGTATATGCCTCTGCTGCTTTGTTTTATCTCCTGTGCCTGTCAGTCTTTGTTCGTCACAGCATCAATGCCAGAATGATCCGGGATCACAGTGGATAGGTGGAAGTCACCTGGGGGCTTTGGGGTCCGCAATAGTCCACCCTGGGTTTCAGGACTCTGTCTATCAAGTTAGAATGTCGAAGAGCTGGGACTGGGGGCCCTAAAGTTGAGGAGGGGAGCATCGGCTAGTTGTTTGAATATAATTTTGAGTTAATTTTACTTAAACTATACTTACATCTCTTGCCACAGGAATTTCTTCACATGGCTTCCGAAGAAGTGACGATTACAGTTCGCCTCGTTCGTTCATTTGAGCACAGAAATTTCAAGCCTATAGTGTATCATAAAGTTAATTTGGACCAAACTGTTAGGGAATTTATAGTATTTCTAAAGCAAGGTATGAAACCTTTATTATTTTTTTAAAAAGTATTTTGGAAAAATGTATTTAAAAATTATTCTTTTAAAAAATATAGTCAAATGTAATTGTTGATTTATGTCTTGATGTCCCTGGGTTGTGCCAGTAGTTTGCTGTCAGCCAGTAACTGAAAGGTTGGCAGTTCGAATCCACACGGCATCTCCATGGAAAATAGGCCTGGTAATTTGCTTCCATAAAGATAACAGCCAAGTGAACCCTATGGAGTTTACTTAAGTAGAATCACCATGAGTCAGAATCAGCTTGATGGCAACTGGTTTTGTCTTTATTTATTTTAAACTACTCGGTATCCTCTTGTTCTGTTTGAACTTGGACTCTGTATAGGTTCCGCATGAGCACACTGAAGTGTTCTGGTATTTCCATCTTTTGAGATGTTACCCCTTGTTTGTGCCCATTGTCTTGATATGGTGACGGCTTCATAAGTTTAACCATATGTGCATATATATGCAGTGTGTATGTTAGAAAGCTGTGAACAAAAAATCCCTCACAGTCACTGTAGTTTGTAGATCTTTTTCATAAGGAAAAGGGTTTCTCTTTTTCTATCATCAGGCATCTTTATATATTATGTCCCCTAAATGTGTATCCCTCCAAAGGTGTTTATAGTCCGATCTGTCATTTAACTGGCTTTAGCTGGAACCCTTCCCAGTGCGGCAGGATGGAACTCAGGTGGGCTGCATTCACATGCTCACTCCCTGGGTAAATAGTGTGAGACCTTGGGCTGGCTAATTGCATTCTTAGGACCTCAGATTTCTTAACAACCAATTAGAAGGAGTAAAGTCTACTCATTCATTCTTGACTAAAAGATTAGTCCCACTCATGCCAGCCACTATTGTTGGTACTAGCAAGGCTATGAGGAGCTACTGCCCATACCCTATGACAGGGGTCCTCAAACTCATTAAACAGGGCCAGTTCACTGTCCCTTAAACCTGTTGGAGGGCCGGAGTATAGTTTTTAAAAAAAAACTGTGAACAAATTCCTATGCACACTGCACATATCTTATTTTGAAGTAAAACAACAAACAGGACAAAAACACCTGGCGGGCCGGATAAATGTCCTCGGCGGTTGAGGACACCTGCCCTATGGGATCTGAGAGAGGGCTTCAAAAAGTTCATGGGAAATGCAATGGAAAGAGAAAGAGGGCGAGAGGAAGGCTCAAGGTGCTCTCCTTGAGGTCATTGTTGACTCACTCATGTGCTTTGCTTTCTTCCATTGTAGGCCTCTCTCAGTGAAACTAGCTTCGTGGTCGCTGTCTTCTTTCCTCAGGTTGTTTTGTTGCTGCTGCTGCTGTTATTCAACATTTTGTCGTATTTTTGAATGGCAGGTTCCCAACGACTTATACACATTTTGTTCCATGCCATTGGCTGCAGTTCCCTCAGGGCAACAGCATTCTCTCCATGGCGCCCTAGAGGCCCCATTTCCCTTCCTCCTTTGCTGCCCCTTCCTGCCTGCTGAGCTTTGTGTTTGGACATGCTGCCCTTTTGATTTCCTGTGGTTGGTTGGTTGAGGAACGTGTTCACGGTGAGTGCTGTTCACTTGATAGGTGGCCCTGATGGGTGTTGCTCACCTTGCAGGCCTGTGGAGTTGACCTGAGAGCAGTGACCTTTTTGCGTGTGTTATTTGGCTGAAAGACTGTCTCTGGGTGAGGGCTTCTTTCCACCAGCAGCTTGTTTGAGTGTCTGATGAAAGACATGCCAATGACAATCAGTTGTATGGTGGCACAATGCTTTAGCGCTGGGCTGCTAACCAAGAGGTCAGCCTTTCAAACGCCCTAGTCCTTTCTGTGGGGCAAAGACCTGGCTGTCTGCTCCTATACAGATTTCTGCCTAGGAAGCACTGTGAGGCACTTAGACTCAGGTCCACAGAGTTGCTGTGAGTTGAGATTGAATTCAATCAGGTTGCTGTGAGTTGAGATTGAATTCAATCAATGCACTCCATACAACAATCATTTTCTTTTCTAAACATTTAATTGTAATTTATGTGGCTCATGATTCATAGGTGAATAAGAAGCCAATCAGATAACATAAAGCGCATAGGTTTGATTAACCTACTTCAAAGGGGAAAACTTTCAAGACCTGGAAAAACCAAGCAGGCCCATCGTGGCTCAGCTCGCATAGGCTTCCGTGTTTTCAAAGAGTTAATGGGAAAATTCCATTTTCTCTCTCTTTTTTCCTTCCTTAATCCCCCCCACAACAGTTTTAATGGTGTATAATTCACATAGTATATAATTCAGTAATTCAATTACAGGAAGAAGAGTTGTAAAGTCATCACCACAATCAATTGTAGAACATTTCTTCAGTCTTGTACTCATCATTATTAGCTACCCTTTTCCTCCTAACCTCCCCTGCCATATCTTCAAGGGACCATTAACTCAGATACTATCTCTATCGAGTCACCCAGTTTAGATTTCATAAACAGAAAAACAACAACAACAAAACTAACAAGAATAACAAAGTAAAACATAAAAACCTCACTTGGAAAGAAAGCAGAAAATATTAAAAACTAGAAAAAATATAAATGGATCATAAGGAAGATCAAATGATAGGATGCTAATTTTTCATCTAACTGCATCTGTAACAATCCACTTTCCAATGAATTGTGCATATTGGCGAGGCTGTTTACATGCTTGGTTCATGGTCACAGGGGAGTCCCCTGGGGCCTAATCCAAGTGTATTTCCCCATCACTTTTTAAAAAAAATTGAAACAGCTTTATTTTTTATTTTGGGGGGTTTGTTATGATGCTTATTATTCAAAGCAGAGCAGCCAGATCCAGGTTGTGGTTTTTCTTTCTTCTTCTTTAAAAAAAATCATTTTATTGGGGGCTTGCACAGCTCTTACCACAATCCACACATCCATCCATTGTGTCAGGCACGTTTGTTCATATGTTGCCATCATTTTAGAAACATTTTATATCTATTTGAGCCCTTGGTATCAGCTCCTCAGTTTTTCCCCTCCCTCATGAACCCTTGATAATTTATAAATTATTAGCATTTTTTCATGTCTTACACTGACTGATATCTAACTGAAACAGCTTTAAACGGGGTCTAGACAAGGCAGATCAATCCAATCTATTATCTCTTAATCCCATTTGTTAAAACTATTTGAAGCCCATATTATGTACAAAATAAATTAATCTCATGTGAATATATTTCCAATGTATATGAATGTTATTGTATCAAATAAAGCTTCAATTTATTCAGTAGTATTACTGAGTTTTTAGCTAATATAGTAGGTAATGATAACTCAACATCTTTTTTTTTTAATCATTTTATTGGGGGCTCGTACAATTCTTATTACAATCCATACATACATCCATTGTGTCAAGCACATTTGTACATTTGTTGCCATCATCATTCACAAAACATTTACTTTCTACTTGAGCCCTTAATATCAGCTCCTCATTTTTATCCCCCCCCCACTCCCTTGTGAACCCTTGATAATTTATAAATTATTATTATTTTGTCATATCCTACACTGTCCGATATCTCCCTTCACCCACTTTTCTGTTTTCCATCCCCCAGGGAGGAGGTTATATGTAGATTCTTGTAATCGGTTCCCCCTTTCTACCCCACATTCCCTCCACCCTCCAGGCATTGCCACTCACAGCACTGGTCCTGAAGGAGTCATCTGTCCTGGATTCCCTGTGTTTCCAGTTGCTATCTGTACCAGTGTACATCATCTGGTCTAGCCATATTTGTAAGGTAGAATTGGGATCATGATAGTGGGGGGAGGAAGCACTTAAGAACTAGAGGAAAGTTATATGTTTCATCGTTGCTACCCTGCACCCTGAATGGCTCATCTCCTCCCCACAACCCTTCAGTAAGGGGGTGTCAAGTTGCCTAGAGATGGGCTTTGAGTCTCCACTCTGCACTCACCCTTATTTACCATGATACGATTTTTTGTTCTTTGATGCCTGATACCTGATCCCTTTGACACCTCGTGATCACACAGGCTGGTGTGCTTCTTCCATGTGGGCTTTGTTGCTTCTGAGCTAGATGACCACTTGTTTATCTTCAAGCCTTTAGTACCCCAGATGCTATATCTTTTGATAGACGGGCACCTTGAGCTTTCTTCACCACATTTGCTTATGCACACATTTGTCTTCAGTGATCATATCGGGAAGGTGGGCACCCACTGATAAGATTTTTTGTTTTTTGATGTCTAATACCTGGTCCCTTCTACACCTCATGGTCACACAGGCAGGTGTGCTTCTTCCATGTGGGCTTTGATACTTCTGAGTTAGATGGCTGCTTGTTTATCTGCAAGCCTTTAAGACCCCAGACTCTATATCTTTTGATAGACGGGAACCATCAGCTTTCTTCAGCACAGTTGCTTATGCACACATTTGTCTTCAGCGATCATGTCGGGAAGGTATGCATCATGGAATGCCAACTTAATAGAACCATGTTTTTTTGCATTGGATAACTTAACATCCTATAGACAATTTCTTTAATTTGGATGATCTTTGAATATTGATGGTATGATCATTTGATTTTGTATCCTAATGTAATTTTTGTTTGTTTTTCAATTTAGTTCATAAGTATAAGAAAACAGAGCCATATGACTATGCATATGCTATGAATATATATTTGGATATTTTATAATTAAAAACAATCTTTGTCTTATAGATATACCTTTAAGAACCAACCTGCCACCACCATTCAGAAATTACAAATATGGTAACTAATTTTTCTTATTCTTTTAAAACATATTTTCTGTATATTTTCCATATGGCATACTCATGTAAAAACATGCCTAGCATGTTTAGCATGCATAGGAAAGTAACATAGGTTGAATGACTTGCCAAATTTGTATAAAATTCTATAATATAATTTGACATTAATTTTATGCTGATAAATAAATGTAAATTTCATCTTTAAAAGTGATTTTGCTATGTGTAAATAAAAAACAGTTTGCAAGTTTTCTTAGGAATATAGGAATCCTGGTCTTTTGATTGAGGATCCTTGGTGGTGTAGTGGTTACATGTTGGGCTGCAATCAGTTCAAAGCTATCAGCAGCTCCGAGGGGCACAGATGGGGCTTTCTAGTCCTGTAAACAGTCCTAGTCTCAGAAACCCATGGGAAGGTCCACCCTTGATGGCAGTGAGAGAGAGTATATTGATACAGGGGGAAGATGGGGCTTTCTGTTGTGGTAAAAAGTTACAGTCTTAGAAACAGGGGCAGTTCTGTCCTGCCCTAAGGGTCATTATGAATTAGAATCGACTGGCTGGTAGTGAGAAGAGTATACTGATAGAGTAAATTGGAAGGGTACAAAGAAATGTCATTTTTGTGAGACAGCATCTTTGGTTAAAACGTGACTAAAAGTAGAAGTCCTTGGTTGAAGGTTGGTGGTTCAAATCCTCTAGCCCAGTGGTTCTCAACCTCCCTAACGCCGTGACCCTTCCATGCAGTTCCTCATGTTGTGGTGACCCCCAACCATAAAATTATTTTCGTTGCTACTTCATCACTATAATTTTGATATTGTTATGAATCATCAATCATGTAAATATCTGATATGCAAGATATATTTTCATTGTTACAAATTGAACATAACTAAAGCATAGTGATTCATCACAAAACAATGTATAATTACAGATGGTGAAATATTTATTTCTAATGACAAATAAATGAAATTTTGTCGTGGAGTATGGTGTAGCATGGGTTACAGTCTTCACGCTGGGTACTTGCATGTGGTGTGTCTGCATGTGGGCAGACCCGCCTGGGGACGGACAGAGGAGCAGTGTCTCCGTTCCTAGGACCATCGGAAATATGTGTTTTCTGATAGTCTTAGGCGACTCCTGTGAAAGGTTGTTTGGCCCCAAAAAGAGTCGCGAACTACAGGTTGAGAATCGCTGCTCTAGAGGCTCCGTGGAAGAGAGGCCTGGGGATGAGTCTTGGAAAATCAGCCTTGGAAACCATGTGGAGGCAAGTTCTCCGTGGACACTTAGGGATTGTCCTGAGTCCGAATCACCTCAACAGCCACTGCGTGGTGGAAAACACATTTCCTTGCTGTGTGGTCAAAAGAGGGAAAACTAGTAATACAGATGAAGAATTAAAAGAAGAATTTAACATTTTCATTGGCACTAAATAAAGCGCTTTATATACTAGTTTTATATGTTGTAATTGGTGATTTAAAAGAGCCGTAATAGGACAAGGAACAGGGTTTCATTATTCCGTGTAAAGAAGTTATTACTAACTAACCTGTGGTGTGTACTGACACGTCCTAAACTTTGAGTTTGATATTTCATTGAAAGTTATGATGCACCTAATAAATATTTCTGTAATTGGTGCTGACATTATAAAGTATAAATATTTTATTACCTTAACTCACTTTTTAGGGGAGTGACTTTAAATTCTGTTTTCATTTGGAAGAACAACTTATGACCCAAAATACTTTGAAATCACAACTTCACTCTGCATATGCATTTTACATTCAGGCCAGTTTGGAGGTCACAGAGGACAGTCAAACAGAATTTAATTTAATAAGTAGAAACCACTTTGATTTGTTAGATTTAAAAATTTTACATACTAAATATTGAATAAGAGGAGTAAAAAGTGTGATTAAGGTAAATACTAAGCTTCTTATTTTTAATTTTCATAACGGTCCAAGTAGAATTCATTGAAATTGAATCTTAAATCAACCCAGAGATATCATTTCAAATTAGAATAGTTTCATACAATTTCCTTTGCTGCACAGTGTATGTGTGTATGTTTATATACACCACACCAAACTAAACCCCCTGCCGTTGAGTCACTGCTGACCATAGTGACCCTAAAGGACAGGGTAGAACTGCCCTGTGAGTTCCCGAGACTGTAGCTCTTTATGACAGTAGAGAGCCCCATTGTTCTCCCAAAGGAAGACTGCTGGTTCAGAACTGCTGAGCTTGTAGTAGGACTCAGTCCAGTGTGTAACCAGAACCCTACCAAGGCTCCTTGTGTATATACATATCAGCCTCCATGGGCTACATGTGTGCAGATCTGTGCTCCAGACAGGTTTGTTTGGAAGATAAATGTTAGATGATGACAATAGCAGAATATCTGAATGGAGCCTCTGGGCGGCCCAGATGTTTAAGCGCTCAATGAATAGCCAGACGATTGGCAGTTCCAGCCGACTCTGACGCACCTTAGAAGGAAGGTCTGTGATCTGCTTTGGAAGGTCATAACCTTAAAACCCTATTGACTATCCTGACCGGGCAGGGAGCCACCGCGAGCAGGACGGTGGGTTCCCAGGGCGAGGCTTGCCCGGTGCACTGCAGACGTGCTGACCCCTGCGATTTCCCCAAATATGGGAAACTCGACCGCATACTTTGCAGTAGTGGGGGACTGCGTTCCCAGCACTCTCCCTGTTAAAAAAACCACCAACAAAAAACCCCTAGTGACTACAGTTCCACTCTACACACACAGGGTTGCCATGAGTTGCAGTGGAATTACCGGCAACTAGCTTTCAGTGTGCATGCCATGTTCTTTCACCTTAACATTATTTCCTCCTAGTTTTTTCCCCCACAGGTGTGCCTGACCCAAACGATGGTATTTTCAGTTGCCTGATAGGCATGTGGAAAGTTGGTCAATAAATAAGGAAGAGCAAAGAAGGATTTTAGTGCACTTGAATTACGTTCATGAAGAACACGGAAAGTATGGCGAGCTGTGAGAAAAACATACAAATCTGCCTTAGAGTATAGCCCGAGTGCTCCTGAGAGGTGAGGATGCCAAGACTTCTCTCCCAGGCTTTGGAAGTGTTATCAGAAGAAAGCAGTCCCTGAAAATGGACCTTATGCTGGGTCAACAAAAAAGAGGAAGACTGTCGAGGCAGTGGATGGACACAATGGCGGCAACAGTGGGAGCAAGCATAAATCGATTGTGAGGCCGGTGCAGGAGCAGGCACTGTGTTTGGTTGTGCATGGGGGTGCTATGGGTTGCAGCCGGCCTGATGGCACCGGACAATAACAACAGCAGCAGCAACATGTTTCTACTAGTCAGAGAGCTTGGCAATAAAAGGAATATATTTATTTGTGAAGAACTTATAAACCCACTCAAGCTTTAATAGGCTTCAAGTGACTCTTTGTCTAAATTTGGCTTTTTAACAGTCTGGTGCTTTGTGCTTAACAAAGCCCACATGTTCTCTTGTCACCTGTCAGCGCCATCTAGTCTTTGTACATCGACGACCAGAACAGAGCCCAGCATTGGGTGTCAAAGAATGAAAAGGGAATGGAGTCAAATGTACCCTTGACCGTGAAGAGTCTGCGATTGCTCTCCTCCGTGTATTTGAAATCCACATCTATTTTCAATCTATTTTGTTGTTGTTGTGGAAAATACATACAGAAAATTTACCCCAACTTAACGGCTTCTCCCTCTGTAGTTCAGTGGCATTGGTGACTCACTTCAACGTGTGTAATCCTGCTCACCCTCCTTCCCCAAGTGGTTCCTCTCCCATTGACATAAACCCCCTGCCCTTTACGTTTTCTGTCTGATTCTTCAAGTGGCTGTAGTGTATCTGATCTTAAAAAAGTAGATTTTTAGAAAGCACAATGCTTAAGGCAGATATTCCATACTAGTTAAGCTAAGTGCTTGCCTTGTTTTAAAAACACTTCAGGCGATATTCTTGGTTTTAGGTTAGAGATGATCTCAGAGCCTTACTTTCAAGGCTGTCCTTTCCAGAAAGTCTGTCTTCCTTGAGAATTTTAAATTCCCTCTGTATTTCTCCCTTTTGATTAGGATTCTCCTAAAAATCTGTGGTCAAAATGTTCGCTAATGGTAGTGAGGCACCAGTTTTTGATGGTCTCAAGGCCAAGTGAAGTAGTTGTTCATGGGGAATGCTCTGTGATTGACTTACCACTCCTGATTGCTGGCCTCCATGACCAAATTGAGTCTGAAAGCACGAGATGTGCCTCCTGTTTCAGTTGTTATCTCTGGAAGGTGAAGGGTTGTAAAAATGTCGGTTATAAAGCATGGTTGCTGATCTCTCTTTCCTAAGGTGGAGTGAGATTAGAGCGCACACTGCCGGAACACAGTGCACCACAGTGCATTGTATTGTTCTTAGTTTTATGAGTGTGATTTCCTCAAGGAATTTGCTTTGAGGAAATCATGCCAAGAAAGATTTTTTTTTTTGTAATAATGAGGGGTTGTGTGTGTGTGTGTGTGTGGTTGTTTAAGACATAAGAACAAGTGAAGAAGAGTATTCAGCAAAGAAAGGGCCAGTAACACATCTTTTGATAGCTTGTCATTTCCTCTTTCTAAATCTCTGTAATTTCTGTCAGAGAGAAAACCCTGGTGACGGTTTCTGTTCGAAGACTTTTTTGTGCTGCAAAAAATTGGCCTTGTGGCACTGGAGAGACTTAATTTCCAATTTAAAGGCTCATTTGCAAAATATAGAGAACATAATTCATATTTAGTAAGGTCAAACCATCATTTTGCAAGTTAGTTTTAACAGACTTAAACTCTTGTTACAAAATCACTATTACCTTTTGACTAACTTGTCTCAGTAATCAATTGATATTATTTCATATAAGGAAAAGAATGTAACAGATAATACAGAATAACAAGACTATCCCTAAATAACATTTGTTTATGTACTTCCATACATGCTGAGCTTATTTTTCAAGCCATTATGGCATATGCTCATTCCTGATTTACATATTTTAATATTAGGATTACACTGACCCTTTGTTACGCAAAGCAGTGGGTCAGAGCTGCACAAGGCAAAAGACGAGATATGGGCCATGGTGGAGGTTTTAGGGTTTACTCTGCCTACAGGAGGCAGGTGGAAGGTGTACCCTCTGAAAGAACTGCTTCCACGAAGGGAGAGGTCTGTTATAGGACTATCGCAGCAGGCCTGGGCGCGAGGTGGCAATGGAGAGGCTAAAGCTCTGCACAGGGAGGGGGTGAGGCGTTTTTTGTTCTTCATTCTTCTTTGTATCTTTTTCTGCCATACTTCATGATCGTGCCCAGCTAATGTTAAGTATAACTCTCAGACGCTGATTCTTGCTTTGCTTTTAAGTGAATTCGTTGGTTTTTGTTTTTATCATACAGGTGTTAACTAGAGACTGGTAACTATTTTCTTTCTAGTTTTATTGGGGGCTCATACAACTCTTATCACAATCCATCCATCCATCCATCCATCCATTGTGTCAAGCACATTTGTACATATGTTGCCATCATCATTATCAAAACTTTTGCTTTCTACTTGAGCTCTTGGTATCAGCTCCTCATTTTTCCCCTTCCTCCCCGCTCCCTCCTCCCCCATGAGCCCTTGATAATTTATAAATTATTATAATTTTGTCATATCTTATACCATCCGACGTCTCCCTTCACCCACTTCTCTGCTGTCCATTCCCCATGGAGGAGGTTATATGTAGATCCTTGTAATCTGTTCCCCCTTTCTCCCTCATCTTCCCTCCACCCTCCTGGTATCGCCACTCTCACCACTGGCCCTGAGGGGTTCATCTGTCCTGGATTCCCTGTGTTTCCAGTTCCCATCTGTACCAGTGTACATCTTCCGGTCCAGTCGTATTTGTAAGGTAGAATTGGGATCATGATGGGGAGGGGGAGGAAGCATTCAAGAACTAGAGGAAAGTTGTATCTTTCATCATTGCTACACTGCACCCTGACTGCTTGTCTCCTCCCCGCAGCCTTTCTGCAAGGGGATGTCCAATTTCCCACATACAGGTCCCCACTCTGCACTCCCCCTCATTCACAATGCTATGATTTGGGGGAAAAGGGTGAAGGGGGTCAGCATTGTTACAAACTGGGGTCATCTTAGTTCTGAACTGGCATTATTTGTATTACAAAAGACAGTAGATAATTGAAAGTTGATTAAAAGAATGGGCCATTAAGACTATTAGTTTTTAACTCTTACTTGGTTAGGTACCTTATTCTTCTGCCTTAATTGAAGTCATTTAAACCAGGGTCTGTTTTTAAAATAGATTCTTTTACCGCATATCACTGTTGGAATTCCTTGCTGCAATATGGCTAATAAAAATGAGTTTTTGTTAGAGTTGAGGTTTTATCCAGATATATTAAAGACATTGTAATAGTAATACGTTAGTTAAATGGTTAATTAAAACTGAGCAAAGATATGGAAACCTTTACATTTTAAACCTGTTGAATGCTTTGCTGTATAATTAAGGGCTGGTTGTTGTAGAATTAGAAGGGGAAGGTGGGGGAGAAAGGGGGAATTGATCACAATGATCTACATATAACCCCCTACCTGGGGGACAGATAACAGAACAGTGGGTGAATGGAGACATCGGTCAGTGTAAGACATGGAAAATAAAAAGTATAAATTATGCAGGGCTTGGGAGGGTGGAAGATGGAGTGGGAAAAAATGAGCTGATACCAAGGGCTCAAGTAGAAAGCAAATGTTTTGAGAATGATGATGGCAACAAATGCACAAATGTGCTTGACACAATGGATGGATGGATGGATTGTGATAAGAGTTGTAAGCGCCCCCAATAAAGTGATTAAAAACAAAAAACAAACCCCAAAACACAATGCATCCAACTTTATGGTAAACAGATTAAGGAAGGAAGAAGGGATTGAATAAAGCTGATTAGATTTTGTAAGCCTGTGTCCTATGTGAAAATCAGGAGGTTGATATTGGTATTTAGACTGGCAGTTTTGCCCTGATTACCTACCAGTGATCCTTGATAGTGTTTGAATTTGGAGAGTGGTAGAATAATCATTTGATGTCCCACCACTGAAACTCTTCTGAGTGGCTAGCAAAATTTTGAAAGCTGCTTGTCTTACTGTTTGTGTTTCAAATAAGCGTCTTTATGTCATCTGCTAATGCTGGCTTTTAGTGACTTGACTTCTACTCCAAGTGGGAGCGTGCCAAGTTGACTAAGATCATGGCAATCAGTGTGTCAAAGAGCAGGGCTTTACAATACCATTGTACTGTGATCTCTTGTAAAAGTTATTATTCTCTTACTGTGTGCTAGACAAGGATGCACATTTCTCAAGTTCACAGCTCCTCCACGGCTGCTACTAAAAAATCAAATCACAACAAAACAAAAACAAAACTCACTTAATGGTTTAAAATGGAGCTTCAGAATCACACTGTAAACGGACAACTTGTTCTTTTCTTTCAGATAAATTGAAAATTATCCATCAAGCACATAAATCAAAGGTATGTATAATATGTTTAAATATGGCAAATAATCCAGCTGATTAAATTTTTAAGTGAATGTGTCTAAAATGTTTTCGATTTTGCAGGTCCCCATTTGACAGCTTTCTCTCACTTTCTCATGGCCAGTGAGTCATTGGTGACTCATAGTGACCCCTGTGGGCTTCCAAAACTGTAACTGTTTTGGGGAGTAGAAAGCCCAGTCTTTTTCCCATGAAGCAGCTGGTGGTTTCCAACAGCTGACCATGCAGATCACAGCCCAACACATAACCACTACACCACCAGGACTCCTCTTTTGCAGCCTTAGTTTTCCATCAAAGGAAAAAAAAAACAACCTCATTCTTTTTTAGTAGTACATCCAGAAATCATCATTATTTAAAAAACACATACATTCCACATCAAGCACAGGTTTCACATGAAATACGGTAAGCATAAAAACTGGCAAAGAAAGTTAGAGTTTGCATGGCGAGGGAGCTGTTACCGTGTGGTCACTCGGTCCCTTTGAATTTTGGATTCCGTGTCAGAAGAAAAGGGACAGACACTGGTGAAAAAGATGCTGGTTCTGATTTGTCCCTTTCTCTGTGGTTGTTGGATTCCTTGTGAGAGTAGCCCAGGGCTGTGCCTTCTTCTTATTTATTTCCCATTGGACATATACAGTGTAACGTTTTAATTTACAACATAATAACGTGTTTATTGCATTTTAAAATTTCTTTTAGGTAGTAGCTGTGTATTCTTTTTTTAAAAAAACTTTAATCATTTTATTGGGAGCTCTTACAGGTATCATAACATTCCTTGGTTAATTTCATCAAGCAGCATTGCATAATTGCCACCACATCAGTTTTGAAACATTTTCTTTCTTCTTGAACTCTTGACATCAGCTCCCCTTCTCCCCTCCCTCCTCCACCCTCCCCACAGGAGCCCTTATTTTATTTTCCCCCCTATAATAGTTACCCCCCCCCTTACACAATCCAATATGTCCATTCACATACAGTTCTGTTGTTCGATCGCATCAAGTGGGGTTATTCAGTCATCAATGCTATCAGCTCCCTATCCCCCCACTTCCCCCACCCTCTCCCCAGACCCTCAGGGAACCATTACTCCTGCTACTGTTTCTGAAGGGTTATCTATCTTGGCTTTCATGTACCAAACAATCTTTAAATACACAAGTGAACATATGCAAATCTAACATGATTAATGAGACTAATAAAATAATAAAAACTACAACAGTAAGGGAAGGAAATATTAGAGAACTAAAGGATAATTATGTGGTTCATCAGTGCTCTGCTGCACTCTGGATCTAATTTATATTTTGTCCTTGAGTTTATACACAGCAGTGCCTACACCAAATCAACCAATAAAGAGTTTGCTTTGAGTATTATATCAGTAGATCCTAAAAGTACACAATACTCAGGGCAAACTCTTTACTGATTAAGCAAATTAGCTACGCTAAACTATTGTTTGGTTTTGAGAAGGCTTCAGGAAGTATTTTTGGTTTAAAGTTTAGATGATCTCAGGGCAATAATTTCAGGGATTCTTCCAGCCTCCAGAAAGTCTGGATTTCACAGCGATCTTAAATTCTGTTCTGTGTTTTCTCTCACTTCATAAGGATTTGTCTATAGATGGTCAGATCAATAGGCTCAGTAATGGTAGTTCTAGTTTCATGGCAAAGAACCACCCATTCCCAAAGGGGAAGCAGATGGTCAGATGCTACAATTTAACCTCAGTGTGCCTGCAGGTGTTCACTTTCTGAGGCACTGTCAGTCTGTATTTATTGCTCTCACCTTGCTCTCTGTGTGTGTGTGTGCTATTGATGGCATTTTGTTCAGTATATTTGTGCTGAGTTATTTTTGTTTATGGATTTTCCTATCATTTCGTTAGTTGCTACTCTTAATATTTGCTGACTTGATGCTTTTTCTTTTTAATTTTGCTGAGATGTTTATTAATTTCCTTTGAAGTTACCACCTAGTTTTCCTGATTTCTCCACGTTAAAGTAGATTTCCCCTGTTGTTATTGCCTTGACGTCCTCTTACGTACCAGCTCTGCCACGACATCACGGTTTCCTCTTTTTGCTCTGTAGACATTATCTTGACATCCATGGGTCTCCATGTTCAGTAGCATGGGCTTATTTTAGTTTGGAAGCTTCTGTGTATGAATTTATTTCTAGATAATGGTTTTGTGTATCCCAGTCGCTGCTTGTTCTCTGCGGTGATTGGTTCTCTGTCTGAAGACTGCCCCCACCCCCACCCCTTAGCATTGGCACTGGTTCCAAGCATGGCTGCCGTGGAATATGGTGACCACTCTGTGGGGGTGCGCATCACCAAGTGCAGAGGTGTGGGCAGGTGCCCTGGATGTGGAGATGGAGGGAATGGGGCACCTGTGGAGCTGGATTGTAGAAATGGGAGGGAAAAAGTAAGGCAAAAAGAAGAGGAAGGGAGAAGAACTAGGAAGAAAAAACAAGTACAAACAAAGAAAGTAAAGAGAAGCAAACAAAAGAACATGCCGTGTTAGCTGAAAACACAGCTGCAGATGGAGCATGGGCTCCCTCTGGGATGTGCAGCTGACCTCCACAGATGGGTGGAGTGGGCACCCATGGGGTGGGTAGGGGGGGGCAGGGTGGTCGGCTCTCCAGGGGTCCAAAAGAACAGAGGAAACAACAATGGAAAGAAAGGAGGTAAACAAACACGAAGCGAGAAGAACTACAACGACGGGGGCGAAAACTTAAAAAAAAAAAAAAAAGGAAGTAGCACAGTACTGGTGAAAGTGTTACCTGCCAAGCCCGCCCGCACAGGAATGCAGTGTGCAGGCTCTGGGAGTGTAATCTCTGCTCAGGAGGACTGCGGGTGGGTGGCCACTGTGAACCAGGTGTGTGGCAAGTGGGAGGGGCACCGGCTACAAAGGTCCCAAAAGAAAAGAGCAAGGAAAGAGGAGGGGGGAAAAAAAGAAAAAGAGGAGGGAGAATTAGAGAAAAGAAATCGGAATTGAGGGAAGGGCAAAATAAGGAAAACGTTTTTTTAAAGCAGCAAAGAATTAGCAGTGTGTATGGGGCATTGACTGGGCTCAGTGGGTCGATGGAGGAGGGGTGTGCCTTCGGTCCCTGGGAGGTTGGTAAGGTCAGTCAGTCCCACTTCTCCCATCTCTGACCACGAGTAAGGCAACCAAGACCATTCCAGGCGCGCAGAGCCAGTTACTCGGTTCCTGCTTCAGCTGGAACGCTGCTTGGAGTAATTCAGTCGTCATCCTGTGGCAGTTGGCAGTTGGCCACACCTTGTTCGCTGTCTTCATTCCGTCTCATCTTCTCGCTGGCATTTGATAGCCCTCGTTTGCCTTTTCTTTACAGCTCTGGGTCCCAAGGTTGTCATCCATATCCGTTCCACCTAATTTCTCAAGCCTTTGTTTATTGCGTCTGGGCAGTCTGTCTGCCTTGTCCACTTAATCAGCTCAGTGTAGAAGCCTCTTCACCAAGTTTCTGGGTGTAGAGACGTTGATTTTATCTAGCCTCAGAAATAGATCCTTGGGTGGCACAAACAGTTAAGCACGTGACTGCTAAGGGAAAGGTTGGTGGTTCAAATGTACCCAGCCATGCCCGTGTACTTAGGCCTGAAGATTTGCTTCTAAAAGACACAAACCCAAACCAAACCCACTGCCATCGAGTTAATGCTGGCTCATAGTGATCCCCTGTGGGTTTCTGAGACGGTAGCTGTTTATGGGAGTAGAAAACCCAGTCTTTCTCCCACAGAGCTACTGGTGGCTTCAAACTGCCAAACATGTGGATCGCAGGCCAATGTATAACCAGTACGCCACCAGGGCTCTGGTTCCAAAGGATCACAACCATGTAAACCCTGTGAAGTGAGTGTACATTGCACTCGGGGTCACCATGAGTCAGAATGTACTTGCTAGCAAGTAACTGCAACTGCAGCAATCTTCAGAGATTCCTCCTCGCTGAACAGTACCTTCCCCCCTGAGCCCCAGAGTTAATATTGAATGAAGGAATCACATTGCAAATAATTCCACTAATCAGATTGTTGGTTACCAGGAGTCAGGGAGCATGGGTTTATATGTGAAGTATTGTAATCAGTAGGTTACTTGTAATGCCAGACTAATTTCTCTTGAAAATATTTTAAACAAAAAGCTTTCATATCTTTAAAAATTTCTATTATCCATCTTATGAGTTGAGAAACTTGCTTGAAAATCACACCCTGGAGTAAACAAGATCTTGAGGAACCATGGGTTAGGAGTTGTGCTGCCAATCACAAGGTTGGCAGTTCAAGCCTACCAGCTCCTCTGCAGAAGAAAGATAAGGCTTTCTGTTCCTATAAAGATTTACAGTCTTGGAGACCACATACAGGTGTGCTCTGAGTTGGAGTCAAACAGATGTCAGTGGGTTTAGGTCAGTTTTTTGTATTCAATATTCTCAAGAAAACTTTAAAATACTACCGAGGGTATTCGGTTGTCCAAATTCATTGAATTAACTCTTAAATTCTGGGCACTTCTCTATGTCAAATTATACCTCAATCTAAAAAATGAAAAACACAGTAAAAGTGTTGCAAATAGAAATTCTTAGGATGTTTTCCATAGGGAATTGCAAAAGATAAAGATGTCAGTTCTCCCTTAGTTTATAGATTTAATACTAATAAAATGCTAACAATAGTTTGTTCATGTACACAAACTCAAGAGGCGCTGATTGTAAAATTCAAATGCAAGACAAAATAACCGAGAATGGTCAGAACAATTCTGAAATATACAATGAAGGAGTGTGGCAGAGTCTAACACACATTAAGGCAGATCGTAAAGTTGTAGTGATTAAAACGGTGGTGCTGTCACTTGAGGAGACTCTGTCTCAGAGTTGGAATGCCAAGAATAGAACCAAATCTTAGTAAAGTCTAGTAAATATTGCATTTCAGATTTAGAGAGGGTGAAAAGTTCATTAGGTGGCATTGAGCCAATTCGGTAGACATTTAGAAAACAGTTCAATTGAATCCATATCTTATTCTCTGTAACAAAAT